AGCAAGCTCGTGACGTGGAGCGTTGGTTCCAAGAAGTGATATAGGGGCCTGGACTTGAACATGGACTTGAACACCATTGCTGGGTGACAGGAGGTGATAACAGCTGATAAGATACCATTTTTAAAGAGGGTGACCCCGAAATTCGTAGCAGAAGTTGTAGCAAGAGTGGGGAACTGCTTCCAATAAGTAATTCAGGGATGGTTAGGGTACACGTTCGCATCTGTTCCCTTCTTGCAACTAAACTACGACCACCTTAGTCCATGAATCAGTGAGTAAAGGGCGATATAGTCGGAATAATTCGACCGCTAAACTCTCGAGTTTCGACGAAAATGAACGCCGAAAGTTGACCCTCTCATCTTTCGACCGCTAGGCTGTCCGTATTCCCAACAGGTGGTGATTTTTCTTGGAACTGTGATAAGCGCACAATTGGCAAGTGATCATTAATGATGAGAAGTATGAACAAGTTGACCGTATTTTGAAACGTGGAAGCCAGGCCAAGTTTTAGGGGTTTGCCAGGGGATCATGTCAGTGACCAGAAGCCACAGACTGGACCATGCGCGCAGAAGTGCGTGTCAGCCAAACTATAGTTGAAAGCAGTAATTCTGGATAATGATTTTCAAAGCAGTAGTGTTATGATTAGGAGATATCATCATAGTAGTGAAGTACTTATATTTCGCTGTAAAAGTTCAATATATGAAAGTAAAGAGGGTTTATCTTGCTCTTCAATCTCACCATGTGCTACTAGACTCAAAACGCGTTCCGCTGATGAAATACTGTTTCCGGGAGACATGACACAGTAATTATACGAGGAACGAGGTGTATTTGAAATTAATGATTTGGTTATACTGTAGTTCGCTGCGCACGAAGGGGCGTGTCAGGCAGTATGAGTGTGCCACGGCGCCAAACCCGTTCTCTGCCAGTTGTTGAAGCGGGTATGCGACAACAGTTGGTAGAAAACGAGTGATACGAACGATATGATACAGTCTTGTCACTTGCTCGCTTCAACAACTGGTGGAGAACGGGTTTGGCACCGCGCCAAACTCATCCCACCTGACACGCCCCTTTGTACGCAGCGAACTAAACTATACCCCATTTTAACTACCGTTTCAATCATTGAATCAGTCTTTAATTATCTTACTATGTGGAAGGGATAACTTTTTCCCCATAATTGCTGTTATCTGACCGGACTGGAGACATCTTAGCTTCTAATGTCACGTGCTGATTAGGAACTCTTCTAGTGATCTAATCGTTTGGACGTTACCCGAAACGTCTTTCTCTGATCCACCTTTCTTCTTTAATTTTCAAATCTAGCTTATCGTTCCCCATATTGGGCCGAATTTCCTTTTACGATTACCGAAATAGAAGCACAGATTGCTTTTTGTTAATGTCAGTGGTGCCATGTATTGGGAGTTTCCAAGTCATTTTTTTGTATATGTGAAATTTTAACAGAGATGAACTATTTTCTGATTGAATATTTCAGCGTTATGAGCCAAAAGTGTACTATCGTGCTGAATCGTCCACGAAAGA